TGGTGGGAATGCAAGCTGGTGCAGCCACTCTGGAAAACAGTATGGAGGTTCCTCAAAAAGTTGAACATAGAGCTACCCTACGACCCAGCAATTGCCCTATTGGGTATTTACCCCAAAGATACAAATGTAATGATCTGAAGGGGTATGTGCACCCCAATGTTTATAGCAGCAATGTCCACAATAGCCAAAACATGGAAACAGGCCAGATGTCCATTGACAGATGGGTAAAGAAGATGTGATATATATATAGATATAGATATAGATATATAGATATATATGTATATAATGGAATACTACCCAGCCATCAAAAAAGGTGAAATCTTGCCACTTGCAACAATGTGGATGGAACTAGAGGGTATTATGCTAAGCAAAATAAGTCAGTCAGAGAAAGACAATTATCATATGCTCTCACTGATATGAGGAATTTAAGAAACAAAACAGAAGATCATAGGGAAGAGAGGAAAAAATAAAACAAGACAAAAATCAGAGAGGGAGACAAACCATAAGAGACTCTTAATCATAGGAAACAAACTGAGGGTTGCTGGAGGGGAGGGAAGTTGGGGGGATGGGGTAACTGGGTGATAGACATTAAGGAGGGCATGTGATGTAATGAGCACTGGGTATTATATAAGACTGATGAATCACTGACCTGTACCTCCGAAACCAATAATACATTATATGTTAATTAATTGAATTTAAATAAAAAAAGAAGAGAATGCAATTCAAGCATATGAATTTTTACCATGGCTGGAGGGGTTCTCAGGATACAGACCTTGAACCATTAGGCCAGTTACAGATCATAGGTTCCCATTACTCAACCAGTTGGGCACAAGTGAAACATTAACCATCCTCTTCCAGGTCTCTCCTGATTCACTCCCCGGCTAACCTGCAGGTCCTCAGAGTCCTGCCCATGGACTATCATAATAGCTAACACTGAGTTCTTCCTAAGGCTCGGCTACTTTCTAAGTGCTCTATTTAACTCATTTCATCTTCAGGATAGTTCTACGAGCTAGACAGTATTACTACCCTCCTTCTATAGACGTGGAAACTGAGGACAGAAAGGCTAAGTAACTTGCCCCCAAACACAACAAGTTATCAGAAGAACCTGGATTTGAACAGTCTGGCTCCTAAGGACTTACTCTGAAGCACACATTATTTGAAAACAAGGCTTTCTGGTGAATTGATCTTACTACCATCCCTTCGCATAGGCCAGACTGACCTCTCCACCAGCTCCCACCTCCCTCCCCACCCTCCTCTCTTTCTGAAGCTGCAGCTTTAAAACTCCTTACACTGGGTAACCAAAAGGAGTTCCGATGGGCCAGGAAAACTTCTCTTGGTTTTGCTTCATCTGCTCTTGTTTTTTTAGTAGACTTTATTTTTTAAAGATTTTATTTATTTATTTGTGGGAGAGAGAGAGCACAAGCAGGGGGAGAGGCAGAGGGAGAGGCAGGCTCCCTGCTGAGCATGGAGCCCAATTCAGGACTTGATCCCAGGAC